TGACGATTTGGGCAAATTTTTGCAGTATGACCCTCATTATTACATAGTTGACAAGTTACTACATATCGGTCTGAGCATATAGTAGCTAAATGTCCAGGAATATCACATATTTGACAGACAACGTTGTCTTCTTTTTTAGGCAATGAAATGTGTTGGGGCATTGCTATATGATTCTTTGCTTTTGTCAACTTCTTCCTTGGATAATCCCATAATGATTTAGGAGTATCTTCAACAATTCCTATATAAATTAACATAAAATTAAGTAATATGTTAGTAAACGATATGCACTAACATGAATTAAAAACTAATGGGAGGGAAAAGGAAAAAGAAATTATACCATCATATTGGCTGTTAAAGTATGGTTGACTGTCCATTTGGTTGTCAAAGTATGGTTGACTATCCATCTGGACCTCAAAGTTTGGTTGACTGTCCATTTGGCTGTCAAAATCTGGCTGACTGTCTGGAACATGGCTATCAAAGTAATCTTCATTGTCCATTTTGCTCTAAAAGTAATCTTGACTGTTCATTTACCATATAGTAATTGTATAATAAATTAGTTAATTAAATTAATCATAGTTTATTTAGTAATTACTAATCATAAATTTTTTTATTTCTCTCTAAACTAAATTTCTTATAAAAATTAAGGAAAAAAAATTGTGCAACATAATTGTAGTTTGGTTTGGCTTACTTCTAATTCAAAAAAATAAAGGAGAAATTACTTATTTGAGTGGTACAGATACATCAGAAATGAAAAATTTAGGTACCTTAACTAAGTGAAAATAAATTCAATCAATTAATTAGAACAGTAAGATCATACTAGTGGAAATGAAAATTATGATAAAATAACAAATAACACATTTAAATACATTAAAATCTTATGATTAAATATAAATTATATTTTCTAAAAATTAAAACATGAAATTTAACTAACCTTAACCCAAAATAACAGAATAGAATAATATATTTAAACACAAGGTGGTGAAACATAATTGATAATAATCACTTGAACATTGTGTTTAA